CTCCATCCCCGTTCCATCCCCGTTCTATCCCCGTTCCATCCCCGCTCCATCCCATCCTATCCCCGTTCCATCCCCGCGCCAACAGTGTTCCATCCCCGTTCCGTCCCCGCCCCGTTCCCGTTCCATCCCTGCTCCATACCCGCCTCATCCCTGCTCCATCCCCGCCCCGTTCCCATCCCCATCCCCGTTCCATCCCCGTCCCATCCCCGTTCCACTCCCATCTCATTCCCATCCCCGTTCAATCCCCTCTCCATCCCCGCCCCGTTCCCGCCCCATCCCCGCTCCATCCTCGCTCCATCCCATCCTATCCCCGTTCCATCCCCGCTCTATCCCCGCTCCATCCCCTCCCCATCCCCGCCCCGTTCCCGCACCGGCAGCGCTCTGTGCCGCTCCCGGCTCCGCCGTGTCCCCGCGGTTCCCCCCGGCGATGCCGCTTCATTCCCGCCTGGAGAGGGAGTTCCTCCCGCTCCGCATCCCGCGGTGCATCCCGCAGGATCTGTTTGCGATGAGCAGCAGGGATGTGCATCCCGCAGGATCTGTTTCCGATGAGCAGCAGGGATGTGCATCCCGCAGGATCTGTTTCCGATGAGCAGCAGGGATGTGCGTCCCGCAGGATCTGTTTCCGATGAACAGCAGGGATGTGCAGCCCGCAGGATCTGTTTGCGATGAACAGCGGGGATGTGCATCCCGCAGGATCTGTTTCCGATGAACAGCGGGGATGTGCAGCCCCACCCGCCCGCTGCTCTCCCTGCGGTGCCGGGATGCCAAGCGCCTTCTCCTGCAGACACACACACACGTATGTTGGCTTCTTTTTTTCTCCTCTGGTCCTTCTTTGTTCTGTACAGGATGCCCACTGCAGTCGTTTCCAAGAGGTAACCGTGAAAATAAACGCGTTTAACATCCTGAGGGACGGATAACACCGCTGCTGCCACGAGTTAGTGACAGCAAGAACATGAAACTGGGAAATGAGGAGAGRTTTTTAAATCCCAGAGCTGCCTGCYGTCCTCYAGACCATCCATCCTCTCATCATTATGATCTCTCCAGACCTTTGCTGCTATCAAAACACAGCTCTTCCCCCGTTTCTGGGGAGAGAAGGGAGACCAATTGACCTGGAAAGGGAAATGTGCATAGTAGCGAATAAAAAAATGAGAAAAACACATCTTAAGCATTTTATGATCTAATGTAGGTCTCCAGGTCCATTTCAGCGGCGTTTCCCTCTCCCTAGAGAGCTGTGACTAAGCAGGCACTGGGCTGTGAACGAGCAGATGAGCCCTGAGCCAACCAGGGCTAAAAATTGTGATTTCTTTCCACTCCGGTGCAATGGGCTTGGTCTCCACATGCTCTAAAGCAGCTCCTGCACAAATTTGTGACAGACACAACCGCATGGGCACATCAGCGTCCTCACCAGTCAGGAATCTGTTTCACAGAGCATTAATTTGTCTCCCTTTCAGCCCTGTAACACGATACACCCACTTCTCGTTTTACACACACTTTACAAGTGGTTTCCTGTATGGTTTTTATTTCCCAAGGCCTTTGCTAAAGGAGGTAAACATTTACCATTCATAACAAGAAGACTGGTTTTGTACTGCTCGTTTCTTTGAAGCCTGTGTGGACATGATCCCTTTGAGATTTTATCAACTGATTTCTTTTTCATGGCAAAGAAAACACACAGCCCTTATCTGGCCGTAGAGCAGATTAATTGTACCCTGAAATTTTCACTGAATGGCTGAGTCTTTCTTGTGTCTGGAGTAGTTTTAACTCCACASGACCTTGTGTTGAGCTAATCTCATTACCTCCCGCAGAGCACATAGTTTTCTAATCATTTTATTTCTTAAACCTCAGAAAACCTTTCTTCCTAAAATAATAGACCTTCATTATGTCAAGGCTGAGTGTTCATTATGATGAACATCATAATGATGTCATCCCAACCTGGATTATTTTCGGGATCACATCATGGCAAAATAGCAAAGGATCTTATTCCTCATTTGTTGGGTTTTTTCCAGGAGAGGTAAATTAGTCTTAAAAAAATACTTTAATTTTTTCCATCTTAAGGAACTTAAAAATAAAGAGTTCAACGTTGCTTTTCAAAACGGTGTGTGATCATTACAAATTATACACAACATTTATTATACCCAGTTGTTAAGAATAATGGATCAGCAACATGCAAATTGGGAGGCACTGAAAGGCAGAGTGAAGGCCATTTAATAGATGAGACCTTTGCCTGGGGGGCCACACAGCAAAATGCAGCCAAATTCTGGAGRTGGAGCTGTGTAAAACCTGGGCAGGAAACTTTAGCTGACAATCCTGACATTGTCCTGAGCTCCAAAGCCACCCCAGTCCATGCAATGTGCCCTTCTTRCAGATATTWTTGAAAGTTTTCTCCTCAWCTGTGTTTTATCAGATTAATGGGAGGGTTCCCCTGGGTAGGGTTACAGCCCTGCTGGWAGGAGTGTCAAAGCCTCCTGGAATAATTGATCTGCTGGGATCCCAAACCAGTTAAACCTTCAGATGTGGCACAGAGGTAGAAGCTGACTCATTTATTCTGGTTGTTACACTGGGCTAATGAAAAAGGGCACTGCAACCAGCATTAATTTCTTTTTTATACTCCACATCCCTGCTCTGACCAACCAGGCTCCTCTGTCAGGAAATTTRTTTGCTCTTAGTTGTGCATCTTTGATCTTGACACTTACAAACCACACCCTGGCCTCTACCAAACCAATCCCTGGACATGTTGACCAGAGTTCCCTTCCTGACWGGGAAAAGGAGTAAATGAAATTGCATCTTGCTCATCTGAAGCAGCTTTYGAGCCGAGCAGGTAAAGTGCCAATTCCCCTTGGTGGCTTTGTGCAGTTATAATGGGATCCAATTGCCTAGAACACAAGTGGTTAGGGAAAAAAAATCAGCTCATGCCCTCCATATAGTACTGAAGGACTTTCTAAGGCATGGAAATTGCATCATTCTCCTCTCTTGTTGATCAGAAAATTGTTCTGTCAGATTCCAGTGCAATCCAAATTCAGCACATTGTTTACTACACTGCCCAGATCACAAATTCTGTAAAAGCTTTGGTATCTCTCAAAATGCTCCATTCTATCCTCTCCATTTTGAAACATATTTCCCCCTTCATTAGCATTTTAATTTTGATGTATAATTTCCCACAAACACGCTGTGACAGTTGTTGTGTATCCCCAAGCACGAATGAGTGTTGCCCACAACTTTGAGTCAGTGTCACACCACCCTGCTTTATTTTCATTTCCCTGTCTAATTCTCAGTATCTCCATTGCCAGTCTTTTTAAATTGTAGCTAGTTCCAGGATTTAACAGTCCCTTCTGATAGAAAGAAATTTTCGTGCAGAGATTGTAATTAGGAAGGCTGAGCTCTGTTCTGTTATTAGCAGGAATTGTGATTTTTGGAGTGGTGGGTTAATTGCTAATAACCATATGCAATGCTTCTGTCAAGATGTTTCCCATTATAGTAATTAACTTAGCAGCTGGGGTAACAGACATTTACCATTTGTCTTCACAGTATCCCTGATTTAGGATTGTTCCAAAATCCTTTTTGGACCCTGTTTGTTCAATTCCCAGGTGTAAGATGAAAAAGAGGGAAGCGGAGAAGGGGAGATCTGTACAGAACAATTTGCAGGGATAATACCTGTTTCAGATACAAAGTATTCAAGGATACACTTATCCTTAGGAATTCTGRATTTTTCTCCTCTAATCTTAGTCATAGACCATAATTTTCATCATCACTGACAGAATGGAGAGCATGGCAGAGCAGCCTAAAACAGAGAATGTTTTCAGAAATGATTAGTTTGATGCTTAAATAAATCTGATCATTACTGAGGGTTTATTAAATGAAAAGTGCAGAATTTTTCATTGCCTATTCATATCCTGAAAATCCCTGTGGTGGGTGACTTTTTTTTTTCCTTCAAGTTTTGTAGTCATCTGCAAAGATAGAAACCTTTTTTGTTAATTACTTCCTCTCTGTGTTGTCTCACTGGAGCTCACTCCTTCACAGAGCTGTGCCAGAATTACAGTAATATTATTAAGTATATGGCCTACCTGAAAATTAAGAAGAAAATAAAGCTTTTCTCCAAAGCCAGATTACATGGCAGAGCAACAGCAGTTTTGTTGATTTAATTCATCGACAGTATATATTGAAAGGATTCATTTTGTTTATGAGATAATTTTAAAGACTTTTAAGACCATGAWGCCAGATTTATCCCCTTTTTTCAAAAAAGTTTGCTCTGGCCAGAGTGAATTCTGTACAGTTCTGTATTAAAGAAGGTTTGTTAATACCCTGAAAGATGTAAAGCAGCACACCAAGGGCACTGGGAGCTTTCTCTTGTTGCAAGGAATTGGCTTTGCTCCATTCCAAGGAATGGGGGAACGCTAATTTACAGTGACTGAGGATCCAGCCTGTTGTTAATCATAATTATGGACTTATTTTGGGAGGTGCATTTTCTAAAGCAGTTGGGAAAGGCAAGAAAATTAAGTTAAAATTATTTTCTTCCACAGGAGGTGAAAGTAGTACATAAATAAATACTCGGTGTTGCAGTAGATCTWTAAAACCTCCAGTGGCTTTCTGGCACTGCAGCGTCCCGTGATTTTTTTTTTCTCCAGCACATAATAGTAAGTTTCTGATAATAGTGCTCACAGACAGCTGTGATTATAACCACTTGTCAGGGAATGGATAACTAGGAAAATAACACCATATTCAACTGTAAAAAATGCTGCCTGGAGTACATTAACACAGCGATAATTTCTGCTAATAGCAGCCTCCRAACCCCATCCATTAGCTTCGAATTGAAATTCCTGCTTCATTTCTATCTTTCAGAGCCTCTCTGCCCTCTGACCCTCTCTTCCATTACTTGGGAGCAGCAGAGCCATCCACAGGCACTCCCTGGCACTGGAAATAAGGACAAACTTGCTGTTTGAGCCACTGGAGATGGGGACACTGCTCATGTCCTTTGCTTTGGCAGTGCCAGCACAGGGGATGGGAGAGGCAGGGAATGTTTGTTCAGAAGGTTTTCCYCCTGTGGGAATTCTCTGCCAGCATCCCAYTCCTTYCCCAGCCACTTCCACCCKGCCAATCCAACAGCTGCAGAAATTACAGCACCACTAACAGGAATTTGGGTTTTCATTCGTGTCTGAGGTTCCTCCAGAGGAGAGGACGGGAGGGAGGGAAAATAATAATTGAATCCCAGAGYAGTAGGATCATAGAATCACAGAGCTGTTAGTGGAAAAGACATTTCAGRTCATCAAAATCAACTKTCAACCCCATTCAGCACTAAGCCATGGCCTCGAGTGCCACACCTGCACCTTTGGTGGACATTCCCAGGGACAATGACTCCACCACTGCCCTGAGAAGTTTGTTCCAATACTTACAAYCCTTTCCATGAAGAATTTTYCACCCATATCAAATCCAAACCTCCCCTGCCACAACTAAAGACCTTTTCGTCTTGTCCTGTCACTGGGACATACCTGACACCCCCTCACTAAAACCTCCTTCCAGGTGCTTTGAGAGGGCAAAAACTGACCCCTCACCCCACTCAGTCTCTCCAAACAGCARAAAAAGTTCAAAGTATTTCTTTTTTGACAGAATTAGTAGAAGGTCATTGATATTCAAGTCAGGAGGATATTTCTGCAGGGACCTATTACATCTGATTGGGAAAATAAAATGTTACCCACATCCACAATTACTTCTCTAAAGACCACTGATCTCATTCCCGAGCTTTTCTCTTTAGCATTAGTTAACCAAAACTCTGGTGAGAGCAGGCTCTTGACAATATAATCCTAAAATAAGTTTCATGTTGGCAGGCAATAGCAACTGGGAGTACTTTCATCTATTTCTGGATTTGGGATAATGACACTCCAGTGAGTGGCTAATCTGGTGTGCTTGTGT